ACTGATACTTTGGACTATAGTAGATTTATTAACTTTATTCTAAAATGGTCTGAAATCTCCCATGGCAAGTAGAGGTCATTATGTTGTTGGGGCCAGCTTATTATGTGCTGGGCACTGTGCTAAGCACTGGAGAAACAAAGAAAGGCAAAATATAGTCCCTATCCTCAAGGAGCATCCAAACGAAATGAGGGTAGACAACATGCAAACAGCTATTTACAAATGAGACATATAGAGGATACATTGAAGGCAGTCTCAGAGAGAAGGCAATGGGATTGAGGAGGATTGGGAAAAGTTTCTTGCAGAAAGTAAGACTTTGTTGTTGTTTGTCCTTCATTCTAGAGGAAGATCATGACATCAGGGAGGTGATGCCATGGCATGTGAGGGAATTAGATTTAAGTGAGGGAGGGCTGTGCAAAGTCACCAGCCTCACTTTCTCCTTTGGAATCATCTGGGCCCAGTGGCAAGATATAGATTAGGATGATGGAGATGGCCCAGGAGGCAGTGGGGGAGTTGGCCTTTTCAAGATAAGGTCTTGCAGGGGCGGAGCCAAGATGGCGGAGTGAAAGCAGTGACTTGCTTGAGCTCTCCCCCAAACCCCACCAAACACCTGTAAAAAATGACTCTAAACAAATTCCAAAGCAGCAGAACCCACAAAAAGACAGAGTGAAACAAATTTCCAGCCCAAGACAACCTGGATGGTTGATCAGAAAGGTATATCGTGCCGGGCTGGGAGAGGAGCACAATTTGGCGTGGGCGCGCAGGCTGCAGCGACCCTGCAGCAGGCCTCAGAGGACTGAATCACAGGCAGCTGTGGTGGTTTCCAGGCTTCTCAACCCACAAATGCCAAAGACAACTTAGAAGGTCAGTGGGAAAAGTCTGTGACTGCGGTGAGAGAAGGACCTAGTTCTCAGCCACAAGTCCCGAGCTCGGCCTCTGGAGCAGCGGCTGTTTCCTGAGCTTCTGGCCCACAGACTGAGGGGGAATCGAGTGGCTGATCAGAGGAGGATTGCAAGGATCTCTTTGCCAGTGCTGAGGCAGGAATCTCTTGCTTTACCAGTGCTTGGATCTGGGTCACAGTTCTGAGGGGCAGTCCTGGGGCCAGAAGGAGCACTGGCTTGGTGAAGTTTGTTGTGACTGTGGAGAGGAAACACCCCGCCCCTTATCATACCACCCTGGAAGAACTGAAAATTTACAGATCCCTAGAAGTATCTCTGAA